ATATAACTGCAAATAACACACACACACACACACACACACACACACACACACACACACACACACACACACACACTTGCACACTCCAAAGTGTGATTGATGTATTGGAGCTCTGTTCATATGTGAAGCCATGGGGACATTATTAGAAAATTAATGATTGTGGACTTTCATCCCTTGGAGAGGTAAAGAGGGCACACACACACAAACTGGAAAAGCAAGGCATTATTAGAAACCTCATGATGAAGGAACTGACTTGCATCATTACTTATTTTTTCCTTTGGTTTCATTATGAGACATTTTTCAATACAAAATATCACAGAGGGCCAGAAGGTTGTTTGTTATTCTGGAGAATGTGTAATGGTGCAACAAAGAGAACAAAGACGACCATCACAGCAAGTTGTGGTCGTCAGGTGGGGACAGTAATTCCAAGACCATCGAGCGTCTATGCAGATTGACCACACTGTGTTTTACAGTTCATCAGGAACAAGTTTTAAAATGTTTCTTGTTGCCTTAAATTGATCATCATACAGGCTGGAAGAACTATGGCTGACCTGACTCAGTCCCCTGAAGTCTACTTCAATAAACACAAGCATTCATTTATACTTACATTTATCCATTTATCCATTATCTATACCTCTTATCCTGCTGAGGCTCATGTAAGGAGCTGGAGTCAATCTCAGCTGACATTAGGTGGGAGACGGGGGACATCTTGGTCAGGTCACCAGCATATTAAAGGGCCAACATACAGAAATAAACAACCATTCATACTCACTTTTAACTTAACCACAATCTGCATGTCTTTGGACCAAGCTAACCAACGCACCAACATGTCAACCCTTTTACCCCAAACAGTCATTAATAACATCATATTATCAACTAACAGGTGAACCGCTCTTTATGCAGCAGCCACCGTGCAGCTTTATGGATCTGATGACTGAGCTGGACTGTACGTCCTGTGGGTAAATTATTTTTCGGTTTCAGAAAGAAAGCTTTAACCAGCATCACCACAGTCCAATCAAACAGCCACTTCCAAACAGACATGCTTCAATTAGCATTACATTTAATTTGTCTCTCATTCAGGTGAGGCCGTTGGTTTTTCAGGAAGTACGTTTCAAACGGACTACTGCTTTACCACTTCAAGTGACAGACAGAAGGCTGTATTTCCACTGGAGGCATTCTGGCCCAAAACACACAGTCGATACTGTCGGCCAATTTGGCGAAAAAAGGCTACGTATGTATGATGAACAGCAAGACGAACAAGAAGAAGGGAGAGGCTGCTCTTTGGGCAGATCAGGTTCGATCCAACACACATTGACAGGTGTGGGTTCTTCTGCAGCATAGTGAGGTTGTCTGTGGTGGTGAGGACAGGGAGTACAACACATAAGCACTTTTACTGGTGCCAGCAAGAACCCCTTGCAACACACACAAACACACACACGCACGCACACACACACACATACACACACATAGTCTGTGCCACCTACATAGATGAAAGCATTGGCTCTGTGGCAGATGACTCTGTGGTTCCCTTTGGGGCCCTGTTGAGGACTATTGTTGCTATTTATGGGATAAGGAGTCATTAGGAGGAATGCCAGTGTGTACTGTACAGTAAGTTGTGTGTGTGTGTGTGTGTGTGTGTGTGTTTGTGTGTGTGTGTGTGTGTGTTTATGTGTGTGTGTGTGCGTGCGTTGCAAGTGTTTCCACATCTGAAGAGAGTATGTGTATGTGATGTGTACTTGTGCATTTCTAATAAAATGTCTTACATTGAAACTGTGGCTGGATCTTCATACACACACACACACACACACACACCTCACAATCACTGAAGGGGAAAACCACAGCCTTGGATAGTTTAAGATTCTTAATGTCAACAACCTCCTCTAAAAGCACAAGTGTTTGTGGCTGAGCAGCCATTAAAGATAAGCCAGAGGCTACTGGACAGAGAGACTGATCTCATCATAACAGAATGTGCCGGCTACGATGGATGAAATGTTTTACAAATGAATCATGAGGGATTAAAAGTAAAAGAATAAAGTAGCAGTCAAAGAAGTCACTAGTGATAAAATGTTTCATGAAGGGAGAGAGAGAAGAGAGGTGGTGTTTGAAAAGAGAAGCAGGGCGCAGTTGTACTGTTGAACGAAAGGAGTCATGGATGGAGGAAAGAAATAAACAAACTAAGAGTAAACAAAGAAAGGTTCCATGGCTATTGTTTCTCAGATGGTCCTCTCAGCTTTAGTGTAACTTTTAGGTTTGGCGAAATATTCAGGCACAGTTTGTAGCACCTGGCAAACAGCCAAACAAATGAAAACCCAGAAACCATAAAGCAATAAACCTTATGCTGTGATTAGATTTACAACAATCTTATTTGTACTTGTGTAGTGAGAAAAAAGCTTTTGTCTGATGAAATGTAATTTGATTTAGCAGCATGCAGCCAGTGAGTTTGAGACATTAGGAGAGCAGGGTGCTGGAAGCAACCAAAACCATGAATACTCTCTCTCTCCCTGATGCCCACACAAGTGGGGGAAGATTAAAAAAAAAAGAAAAACACACATAATGGATTTTATATAGTCTGTAAAAGACGAGACATTTTGCACTTATCTTACTTTATGTTTTTTATTTGTTTTGTTTTTACAAATGGGAAAATAAGATTCAGTAAGAGACTGCGTAGCATGCAAATTCAATTTGCTGCTCATTATTTTAAAAGTGCTTTCCAGGCCCGTCGTCTCTGATATTCAGATAATTAAAATATATCAATTTGATGGAATTAGCTGGAAGAGAAAGCAAAGAAATAAAAGGGGAACAGGTGCAAACAACTAATTGACCAAATTGCTATGAACAGAAATAATAATTTGGAGGGCTGGAGGTGGGAAGGAAAACATTGCAAAGAGGAAAAGAATTGTTGAAGAGGGAAAGAGGAACTTGTGCAATATGCATTAATCAATCAATCAAATTTTATTTGTAAAGCCCATATTCATAAATCACAATTTGTCGCATATAGAGTTTAACCCTCAACCCTCAACAAGAGTAAGGAGCCATTATGAAAAAAACCCTGTTAACAGGGGAAAAACAAGTGGAAACCTCAGAGAGAGCCACATGTGAGGGATCCCTCTCCCAGGATGGACAGAAGTGCAATGTGAGCTTGTTGTTTTCCTAAAACAACTGATGCTGTGTCACATGACTCCCGGTGGTAACTTAACAATAAAATGTAACAGTGCGTTGTAATAAGCTGTTTGCACAAATGACCCATTACGTTGCTTTTATTTATGGGAGAACATGATTGCAGATGTTGGAAAAGTTTAATGCTAATTTTTTTTTACTGTGATTGCTATTGGCGTGGAGACACCCATTATGCAAAGTGAATATTTGTGGATATTAGGAATAGTGGAGTGCCTCGGTGGACAGATGCTGGATCTTAAGACACCAGCCGTTTGAGTTGTCCAGTGTGAATCGTTGGCTCAGCCTCATCTCTGGGCAGATGTTTAAAATGGATGCACACATGGATTCTTACTCACACACACGCACACACATGCACACACACACACAGACAAAAAACAACCCAAGCCTGTAAAGCTGGAAGAGCTTTGTACTGCACAGATTTTGTTCACCTCACTGTCGACACTGCTGCTGGGTATTACTGCATCCAATAAATACCAGACCCACCACATTTACAAGGGGCTGCCTGTTGGTTTATGTGGGAGCAGTGTGCATTTGGTTTTGTGTATTCTAGAAGACAGAGAGGCAGGAATGGAAAAGCTATAATTGGAGGGGACGCTGAGAGAGAGGAGTGATAGAACAGCTGGATAACGATTGCAAAGCATCCACAGATATTAGGCTACTAGAACCTTATCAAAATAAAAATAAAATAAAAACATTTATAACCAATTACCGACTATCACGTGTGTGTGTGGATGTGTTCCTATTGTGTAAAAGTATCAAAGACAATCAGAGCAGCAATCCAAAAAACTGACATCTCCTGACTCATACTTTTTCAGTTTCAATTATTGGACCTAAAGACTGGACCTTCTTGGTTTCTTAGACTGATGGTGGACAGGTATAATATGACTAACAGCATCACATATTTTAGTTCTATCATACAGTCTGTTCCTGGACAAATTGTCGATTTGATTAGCCTAG